GGAGATAGGTGGGTGCAGAATTTTTTGTGCACAGGCGTGCACCTTAGAGGGAACACTGGCCTGTCTGTTAGCCATCTTTTAATCTGTTTCATGAGTGCTGTGTTAATTGTTTTGTTTTACTTTTTTAATCCCAGTGTTGTGCAATACCAAGTCAAACACCTTGCACAAGCCTTAGTATATTACACCAACACTGTTACTTTTATCAACAAAACCTGAAGTCTCATCAAAAAAGTATATCAAGTTAGTCTAACAGGATCTACTTCCCATAATCCCTTTATTATTGTCATTAATTATATTACCCTTCTTTAATTCTTTATTATTTGAGTCCAGTATCATCTGCTGTCTAGCCTGCCCAGGGCCAATTTCAGAATGCATACAACAGAAGCATGGAGAGAAAGAAATAAAAAAAATGCCAGACTGAGAAATGCTAAACAGAGAACCAACACAATATTTACTGAAGTCAGTGTTCAGATATTATGTAAATAATCTAATAGTTATAATAAATGATGCCCAAAGGGTTATCCTACACTAAGCGGGATGATTGGTTTTCAAAAATATATTTTGTTACAGAAGAAGAAAAAGTGCATATGACAAATCAGACAATCCATTTTTGGGGGCTTCAACTGATGCTTCAGACCTGGCAAGCCAATAGGGAAGCTATGGGCATGCATTATGAAAGAATGCATCCACTAGAGGGCAGGTTCTGAAGATGAGTTGGCAGAAGAGCAGACAGAAAAGAACAAGTGAAAAGGCAGTGAAATGATTGACACAGCCGTTCAGCTACATCTTGTCAAATCCACAGTTTCAAAGTTCTCTGTACCAAAGAGATGAGCACAGTACTTGCAGCAGTGCAGAGGACTTGATGTGCTCAGCAAAAGTGTCTGGATTTCTCACAAGCTCCACTATCTCACTTGCTTTGTCAGTCTTCTAGGGATCATTCTTTGATTATTCAGCATGAGGGTATTTCAGGCTAGTTAGCCTTCTAAAAGAACACCAGGGCAAAGTCTTTTCTGAATTACAGCAGTAGAAGCCCACAGAAGTCACTGAGCTGGCACATGTTCAAAACACAGAATGTGGCCCAATTTGTTTAAGGGAGTTTAACGGGGGACGGGTTGGATCTTCAGACTAAGCTCTCGGCGCATAGCTGGCACCATCATGGGAAGAATAATGTGTCCTACTCTGTTCTATTCTACAGACTAGCTTCATCCCATTTGTCCCCCTATGAAAACATTTACATTAAGAGTTAAGTTTCTCTTTAATTTATTATTTCCATGACAGGAAGAGACCTTCCTTGGCTAACATAGCAATGTTGTTGAGAGGCAGAAATAAGCAGGTGCTGGGGGAAGGAGACAGCAGATGTTAGCTGGAAAATTTGGAACAACTCTTTACGCCCAGTTATAGGAGCCTAATTTCCATCAATGCCCATTGTTGAAATCATTAATCTGAACCTCCCAGGCCCAGTATTTGCCAGAACCAAATTTTCCATTCACAGCGCAGACTTCCATAAGGCAAAACATTTTAAATCTTTTTTTCAAAAACTAAACCACTTCCTTCTCTATTGCTGCTTTAAAAATATATTCCTGACACTCACAAGACCAGCTTTGATGATCCCCTTTCAGACATCTCAATCTGGTCCACTAATTAAGTTCTCTGACTTTAACAATAGTGCAGAAGTTACCTTTCAAAACTGGCCTGATCAAATCAGTGATCATTAGAACATTGGTACTCACTTTTGGAAAAGTGGAACAAGAGGAAGAATTTTTTTGAATATTGATTTATTTTTCTAAACATTCAAGAAACAGATTGCGTAGGTAGATATAACTAACTCTTACCCTCTCTGCTTCAGCACAGAGTGGGTGGGATTGATGCAGTGTCTATTTCAAAAATAGTTTGCTAGGATCAATAAAACACTTTAATAACACTTGAATGCATTTGGCCAGTATATCAGAAAGGAACAACAGCTCCAAGAAGTCGGGTTCAGTAACAAAGGAACATTTCAGTCTGATAAGGCCTTTTAGCAAATGTTGGATATTCAGTCAAAAAATCAGGAAAATACTTCGGCATCAGTTAAATTTATTTACTGCCATGTCATCACTTATTTTCTCAATGGTATTAGAAAGGGATTTTCCAACAGATTCTGTCTGCCTGTTTGCCCCCCGAAGTGTGTGAGACCTTTGCTGATAATTTCAAAGGTATGCAAGAAAGATCTTCCTTTACTTTGGAGGATCCTGTGCTTTCAGACAGACTGCTCACCTCAGAGGCTCATGGCAGCCCTTAGTTGAAATACTTTCTTTAGGGCACACATTTGCTGTTTGATTGAGATACTCGCGCCATTGGCCAGCATGGGGAAAAGAAAGGAGACCAAACTCCAGAGTCTCTGCTGCTCTTCCAAGTGATTAGGGGCAGGACAGACTCCTTCACAAAATTAGTCCTTTTCCTGGGTTGAATAGGAAGCCCTGAGCCCACCCTTTACTCTGGGGTCTCCAGGGACGCTGTGAAAGCAGTGGCCTGCAATGTCTCTGGTATCAGGTACGTGACACCTATGATTCCTCATGGCCCTCCCCAGCCCTTCCTTACCACAGGCTCTTCCTCCTGGTACCACCTTGCACTTGGTCCTTCCAAACCTCCCACAGCACTTTCTCTCCCTAGCTCCTTGCGCACAGTGATCTAACAGAAGGACAGCCCTTTTAAACCAGTACTAGCTGGTTCTTAATTAGCTCCAAGTGTAGTTAAGATGAGGGTCTAAGCACAAGCCCATGTATAACAGGCCAGGTATGCGACCTGAAGCCTAGACAGCAATGGTCAAGGCTTTGCTAATATAAAACAGGGATGAGCTGTGAGCAAGAGGCAGGCCCTGCTCACAGAAATTGGCAAGAACAGGGCTGATATTACAGAAACACTCATACCTACGAGACACTAGGCACAGGCTGTGAGCACATTCCAGAGGGGTTGTAACTGAACACCTCATTAAGAAACATCTTGGTACCAGCACACACCCCATAAATAACATACATATCAATGCAGGTTCAGGACAGGGTCTAAATTGACAGCATGATGGACAGTAACAGAAACCTCCCTTCTGTGAGGTAAGAGGTGGTAGGTAACTAGCTAACAGAGGGTATGTCTAGACTACAGGCTTTTGTCGACAGAAGTTTTGTCGACAGATACTGTCGACAAAACTTCTGTCGACAAAGAGCGTCTACACTACATTCAGTTCTGTCGACAAAGCAAGTTGCTTTGTCGACATGGTAGTGTAGACACAAAGGACAGTTGACATGCAATAACACCTTCTGTCGACAGAAACTCTGTCGACAGAAGGCGTTATGCGTCGTAAAATGAGGTTTACCAGCGTCGACAAAACTGCTGAGTTCTGTCAACGTTATGTCGACAGAACTCAGCGGTAGTGTAGACGCAGGTATAGTTTTGTCGACAAAAGTCCACTTTTGTCGACAAAACTCTGTAGTCTAGACACACCCAGAGAGTGGCAGTCTGATATGTCAGGAGTGATGTGTAACTTGTTTGTACCTGTATATAAAAGTGGAACATAAAGCGTGGTCGTCAGCTGACCATGGAGGGATGCTCTATCCTGAGCATTTAGTTGGGTGTTAGCCCATTGTCATGGTATACGTAGTTGTAGTGGTGCAGCAGCAACTCTGTTCACTGACAACTATTATTGCACGTCGCTTGGCAATAAACCTACTCTGGTGCTTTTGATCCTTATCTGTTTTGTGGTCTCTGGGGACAATCTCGGGAGTCTGTCATGTTGACTAATTACACATGGTTAATGCATTAGACAGGGGAGCACACACACGCATGCACGCAGCCAAAAGTTTATCATCACTGATAGAGTAGAGGATCTGTCAGAAACTCATCGGGAAGACCCCACCTCACTGACAACACCAAGTAACCTGGTCAGCCTGTCCTACTTTGTTCTAGAAAATTCCTGATTGATTTCAGGTATCTCAGTTGGTCAGTCTACCTTAATTGATTCTGGCAAGTTCCTGACTGTTCTGGATTAGCCCTTTTTACCTTACCCAGCGACAGAAGATTTGTTTATTCTGGGACTAATATATTTGTCTTCAATCACTCTCCTGTAGCCATCTATCTTGATACTGTCACAGGGAATCAAGTATCAGAGGGGTAGTCGTGTTAGACTGAATCTGCAAAAGTGACAAGAAGTCCTGTAGCACCTTATAGACTAACAGATGTATTGGAGCATAAGTTTTTGTGAGCAAAGACCTACTTTGTCAGATGCATGTAGTAGTAATTCCACAGGCAGGTATAAATATACAGGCATAAGAAAAGAGTTCCAATCAAGATTAAGGCTAGAGATAACGAGGTCAATTCAGTCAGGAAGGATGAGGCCCACTTCTAGCAGCTGATGTGGAGGTGCTAACACCAAGAGAGGAGAAACTGCTTGGCTAGTCATTCACAGTCTTTGTTGACTTGAATAAGAGCAGAGTTAGGGAAAGCCTTAATTATTTCATTTCTTTTTTAGTGTTCATAAAATATGATAACTAAGAGCTGTGGAGATTGATATCCTCTATTTATCCAAAGTCCGCATACACAGACTTCTCTATTTTGTACCATTAACGGTTCTCAGTCTTTTCCAGGAGGGTGAACCTTTAAGATAAGTATGGATTTCATGGTACATCTGCAACTCCTTTGGTGATATACTGCACAAGCATTACTGGAGACAGTGTCATGGAAACCATGACCCAATTCCTGATTAAAATGCTGTTTACACTCTGGCTGATATCAGTGTTGCTGCACCATTGCTAGAAAATGGAACATGTAAATTGTCAAGAGGGTTAATTTAATTATGTGGTCTTATGTTATTTAGGACCTGGTGTAAGAGAGAACCAATACTTGCAGTAAGGCTAAATTTCAAGGGTTAACCTGGTCCCATTGAAAGCCAGGAGTGTTTTACCAATCATTTCAATGACAGTAGAATCTGGATTGTAAAATATAGTGACAAGGAAACTAAAGAAAAGTCTTACCTTTTTGACCTCATATTTAATGGCAAGCTTAATTCGGCTCAGGCTGGGGCGGTGATGCTCAGGCCACACTTTTATGTTCACATCTCCATTCAAAATTGCTTCCACTTCTTCTGTATCCCTGCAGAGGTCCAGCACACCCACCACAAAATCCTTGCATTGCATAGATAACTTCCTGTAATCGTTCTGATGCAACAAGGAGAAACAGAAGTTAATTATCGTCGTGTCCTGCAAACATTTTTTTAAAGAAACAAAATAGCCAGGTCAGGTTCAAGTTGAGCATTTATGCATGTAAAACAAGCATAGGAAATAAGCCAGAGGTGGTTCACGCATTTTTTTAAAGAAACAAAATAGCCAGTTCAGGTTCAAGTTGAGCATTTATGCATATAAAACAGGCATAGGCAATAAGCCGGAGGTGGTTCATGAGGGTTAGCCCCTGGTGAGCTGCTGGCACTTTATTTACCTGCGCGTCTGCAGGTATGGTTGCTTGCAGCTCTGGTTGGCCATGGATCGCTGTTCCCAGCCAATGGGAGCTGTGATAGTCCAGTCCATGCTGCGGCCCATAAGCTCCCATTGGCCAGGAACAGTAATCTGTGCAGGAAAACAAAGCATCAGCTGTCCACTAGGGGCTAAACCTGGCGAACTGCATCCGGCCTATAGGCCGCTTATTGCTCACCTCACTTATTGCTCCAAACTTCTGCTGGCTGGAGGCTGAAGTTAGGCTGGGCCTATTTACATTAACACAAGTATTTGAGGATTTCTTCCACATCAAACTAGCATTAGCGCCATGAATTAAAGTTGCTTTTTGTGGTGAAAGGGCAAAACTCTGGTCCTGTTGATCAGGTACTGTGATGATATGGGCAATACAAATGACAGACAATCAAAGCGACTCTAGAGGTGACTTAAAGGGCCAGGGCCCTTTCATGAATTTGCCCTCACATTTGGCACCCCTCTTCCCCCTTCGTTAGGTTGCAATGACAATTCAACTGTCCTGAAAGGGAGTTAATTTTCATCTGTGGTTTAATGTGAACCAAACAATGGTTTGCTTTGGCAAAATTCCAAATATTATGTGTTGCTTCTCCTCCTATCCATGTCATATCTCCACTAGAGCAAAAAAATGTTTCCCCATGGTGCCACTATTAATCAGTTCAGAAATTGTACAAAATGTAAATGCTATTTGAAAATATTTTTGAAACTGATAGATCTGTTAGCAGAACTGGTATTAGCAATGTCCATCCCATATGATTTAATTAGATATACTCATAGCAACAGCTGGTAAGACAAACAGGGATTCAGCGACTTCAATGTAATTAAACTGAATTACAACAAAAACAGCCACTATTTGTGTTCTTTAATTAAACGTCTTATGTTATTTCTCTACAAAGTACAAAGAAGAGTCTTAATTCTATTTCAGATAGATTACTGGGTACTAAAATATAATCAGTCCCCAAAACAGCCTTCAATCCAACATGTATATGTATATCCCAAATTCAAATAAACATAGTAACAGAACCAAAAGAGTGCCAAAAATGGCTAACCAAACAAGTAAAAGAAGCAGAGAGAGACAAAAAGGCATCCATTAAAAAGTTAAATCTTAGTGAGGAAAATAGAAAGGATCATAAACTCTGGCATGTGAAGAATTTGAAAAACAGCTATCAAAAGACTAAAAACATAATACAGGTAGCAGTTTATTAAATACATCAGAAGCAGGAAGCCTGCTAATCAACAATTGGGGCCACTAGACAAGTGAGATGCTAAAGACACAAACAAGGAAAATAATGCCGTTGCAGAGAAAGTAAATGAAATCTGAGCCATTCTTTTTAGGTGACAAATCTGAGGATCTGTCCCAGACTGAGATATCTTTATAGGAGGTTTTAGAACAAATTGATAAATTAAATAGTAATAAGTCACCAGGACCAGATAGTATTCACCCAAGAGCTATTCATAGAGAGTACGCTTATTAAGTTTGAAGATAATACCAAGCTGGAAGGAGCTGCTTTGGAGGACAGGGTCATAATGCAAAATGATCTGGACAAACTGGAGAAATGGTCTGAGATAAATGGATGAAGTTTAAAAAGACAAATGCGAAGTACTCCACTTAGGAAAGAACAATCAGTTTCACACATACAAAATAGGAAGCGATTATCTAGGAAGGAGTATACAGAAATGCACCTAAGGGTCATAATGGACCTCAAAGTAAATATGAGTCAACAGTGTGACACTGTTGCAAAAAAAGCAAATGTGATTATGGGATGCATTAACAGGAGTGTTGTGAGCCAGACACAGGAAGTCATTCTTCTGCTCTACTCTGTGCTGATTAGGCCTCAACTGGATTATTGTGTCCAGTTGTGGACTCCATATTTCAAGAAAGATGTGGAGAAACTGGCAAAGGTGAAGAGAAGAGCAACAAGAATTACTGAAGGTCTTGCAACCATGACCTATGAAAGAAGACTGAAAGAATTGGGCTTGTTTAGCTTGGAAAGGAGAAGACTGAGAGGGTACATGATAGTGGTTTTCAGATATCTAAAAGGGTTTCACAAGGTGAAGGAAGAAAAATTATTCTCCTTGGCCTCTGAGGATAGGACAAGAAGCAAAAGGCTTAAACTGCAGCAAAGGAGGTTTAGTCTGGACATTAGGAAAACTTCCTAACTGTCAGAATGGTTAAACAATAGTTACCTAGGGAAGGATTTAAGAGTAGGTTAGATAGACATCTATCAGGGATGATCTAGATGGTACCGGCTCCTGCTGTGAGGGCAGAGGACTGGACTCGATGACCTCTCGAGGTCCCTTCCAATTTTAGTGTTCTGTGATTCTATGGCTCTATGAAGAGCTGTGAAGGAACTCATATGTAAAATTGCAGAACAATTAACTGTGGTTTATAACCTATCATTTAAATCAACCTCAATACTAAATGGCTGGAGGATAGTTAACATCACATCAATTTTTACAAAGGAATCCAGAGGTGATCCTGGCAATTACAGGGCAATAAGCCTGATTTCAGTACAAGGCAAATTGGTTTAAATTCTAGTAAAAAACAGAAATGTCAGACACATAGATAAACATAATTTGTTGGGGACAAGGCAACATAGTTTTTGTAAAGGGAAATCATGCCTCACCAATCTACTAAATAAATACATTATTAATGGAGATTGCCTATCTCCTAGAAGTGGAAGGGAACCTTGAAAGGTCATCAAGTCCACTGCCCTGCCTTCACAGCAGGACCAAGTACCATCCCTGACAATTTTTTGCCCCAAATCCCCTCCACAAGGATTTAACTCACAACCCTGGGTTTAGCAGGCCAATGCACAAACCACTGAGCTATCTCTCCCTAGACTTCTTTAAAGGGGGTCAACAAACATGTGGACAAGAGGGATCCAGTGGATATAATATACTTAGATTTTCAAAAAGCCTTGGACAAGGTTCATCATCAAAGGCTCTTTAGCAAAGTTAAGTAAGCAGTCATGGGATAAGAGGAAAGATCCTTTCATAGTTTGGTAACTGGTTAAAAGATAGGAAACAAAAGGATTGGAATAATGGTCAGTTTTCAGAATGGAGAGAGTGTCCCACAGAGAACAAGTATTCAACATAGGTAAACAACGAGAGGGCAAAATTTGCAGATTATACAAAACTATTCAAGATAGTTAAGTCAAAAGCAGACTGCAAAAAGTTGCAAAGGGATCTATCAAAACTGGGTAACTGGGGCTATGTCTACACTACAGGGGTTTATCAGAAAAAGGTATGCAAATTGCGCTCCACAATTTGCATATCTTTTTCCAATAGTTATTTTGGAAGAGGCTTTTCTGAAATTTGGCCAATCTACACTGGGCCAAGTTTCAGAAAAAAAAACCTCTTTCATAAGAGCCCTTTGTCCTTGTGGGAGGAGGAAGACAGAGCTTTCGAAAGAGCGCGTCTGCTCTTCCACCAAAAAAAAGCTGAAGAGCAGATGCATTCCCTGGACAAACCCCGTAGTCTAGACATAGCCTGAGTAACAACAGGGCTGAGAAAATTCAATGTTGATAAGTGCAAAGTAAAGTACACTGGAAAACATAAACCCAGCTACGCATATAATATGATCAGGGCTAAATTAGCTGCTACCGCTCAAAGGAAGGATCTTGGAGTTTGTGGATAGTTCTCTGAAAACAGCCATTCAACATGCAGAAATGGAAAAGATGCAGAAAAGGGCAATAAAAATGGAAAAGCTTCTGTATGAGGCGGAAAAGATGCAGAAAAGGGCAATACAAATGATTAGGGGCATGGAAAAGCTTCTGTATGAGGCGTTTTCATTCCCTCTGCTCCTTGTTTCCCGCCCCTTCTTTGTTTCCTTCCCTCCTCTCTCTTCTCCCCTATTTGTTTTAGGTCTCCACATCCTAAACTCATACCTCCGGACATCTGAAGAAGTGGGCTGTGCCCATGAAAGCTCATGATACCATCTACATGTTTTGTTAGTCTATAAAGTGCTACCAGATCTTTTGTTGTTTTTTTAGGATTGGGACTGTTCAACTTGGAAAAGAGACAACTAAGGGGAGATATGATAGAAGTCTATAAAGGTATGACAGGCATGGGGAAAGCAAATTAGGAAGTGCTATTTACTCCTTCTAATAACAGAAGAATTAGGGGTCATCAAATGCTATTAATAAGCAGCAAGTTTAAAATAAACAGAAGGAAGGTTTTCTTCACAATGCATAGTCAACCTGTAGAACTCTTGGCCAGAGGATATTGTGAAAGCCAAGACTACAACAGGGTTCAAAACAGAACTAGATAAATTAATGGAGAATAGATCTGTCAGTGGCTATTGGGTAGGGATGGTGCCCCCAGCCTCAGTTTGCAAGAAGCTGGAAATGAGCAACAGAGGATGGATAATTTAATGATTGATTGTTCTGTTCTTTCCCTCTGGGGCACCTATCATATTCCACTGTCAGAAACAGGATACTGGGCTAGATTAATCTTTGGGATGATCCAATATGGCTGTTCTTATGTTCTAACGTGTTTGTTGAAATATTACTTCAGGAAATGGGCCTCTAGAAACTCAACGGCTGTGTCTACACTACACCCCTTTTCCGGAAAAGGGATGCAGATGAGAAGTCGGAATTGCCAATGAAGCGAGGATTTACATCTCCCCCGCTCCATTTGCATGAACATGGCTGCCGCTTTTTTCCAGCTCGGGGCTTTGTCGGAAAAAAGCGCCA